GATGTTCCTGGTGGTTTCAGCGTTCCTGTCACCCACTCAGGAGAAAAAGCAAGATTGTAAATGCACATCTCTAACACACATTCTTTTCAAAAAGACTTACTCCTAAATCTCCTTAATTTTGTTACAGGTTAAAGAATTTATTTCCTGATGGTGCTACAATGGAAGTAACACTTTTGAAAGAATGCACAGAGGCAACCACATATGTGTATGTATGTGGAAGGGTGTGTATATATAAATAAAATATGTATTCTCTGTAGCACTGAAGATGGAGAGAATTCACTTTAATCAAGCAGCAATATGTGAGATGAAATGGAAATAAACATATGTAGCAAGCAGATCAAAAACATCTTAAGTCTTCATAGACTATCAAGACTGGAAGAACAATAGAGCTTTACCATAAGAAAGCTCAAATGAAGCTATTATGTCCTTCAAACTCAGTAATGAGGACCCTAACTATCAAACCTAAAAAGGAAAAGATCATATTACATACAGAAAAATAAGAAAATTTAAGATATTTCAAGAGCTATGTTTTCCAGATAAAATGAAGTGATGGCACCTGCTGTCATCTGTACTTCGAGATGCCAAGATCAGCTGACAGTCTGAGGGTTTAAAGCTATCCAGAGAAAGACTGAGCATGGCACATATCAGAACATTGGATGCAATCTGCATACACGATGAGGTATCAAGGGTTAGGTCTTCATTCCACACCTTGCAACTTGTATTGGTAGCCAAGTATCTTTAGGCATTAATCAGCTAAAATATAAACATGAACAACACTGAAATCCTTGTTTACTAACTGAAGAACTTATTCCTTAATTAAGAGCAAGCATTGAATGTATTTGAGTTGTTAGTCTGGACACTCCTCAAGAACTTATATCCTGGGAGTGCCCAAGCATTACATGCTTCAACGACTTCATACAGATTAGTTTGCAAGTTGGTTTGCCTACAGATAAGGCAAAGAAGAAACGCTCCCCTCTATTATTCTTGTTATTGACATTAGTCAAATTTAATTAGTATGATTTAACACCTGCATAAAATTTGACTATGCATTTCCATGCTCAAGTTCTTCTACACATTAGGTCTTGATATTTTTATTTTTATTTTTGTACAGGCTGAGCAAACAACAAGGAACAAATACAAAAACATATTTACAGCATGAAGCAATATTAATAGGCTTAAAAAGAAATAGAATCTCAACCTAACTTTGTGGTTATCATGGATCTCTGAGAGAATCTGGAAGAAAGCATCCTTGTCTCAAGGACTGTTCAGCAGGACCTGCCCAAGGCCATGATCAAGCCAACAAGAAGAACTCGTCTGGTTGAGTGACCAGAAAGAATCTGCTCTCGGTTGACATTTGCAGGTCACGCAGACTTCTGCGGTTGTTTTGTAGTAAGTGACCACCATGCAGTCAGTATGCATGCTCAACAGCCTGCCAGGTGATGGTTAGACGTGTGATTGTTGCATGATCTGCCATCACCCAACAGCAGATCACCCAAGAACGTGCCATTGCCCCAAGCAATCAGGAGTACACCAGAGTAGAACAAAGAGCGCAAAAACCCAAATAGTTCAGAGGTAGAACAGGCAGTCTCTCTCCACCCAACTGCAGCCGTTAAAGTCAACAAGATGCCACTGATCAACCCGCAGCCCCCTAGAGCCTATTGGGACATTGCTGGACCTATGGTACTGACTATCTCCAATTCATGATCCCTTCACTAGAATTCCTCTCTTCACTATTGCTAACTTCCCCATCTTCCCCACATTCCTTAACTCTTGAGAGTTTGTAATAATCTAGTTGGTTAACATTTGACCCTGCTTATGTCTTTATCTCGCTCCAGGTATGTGCGTATATATGTGTGTGTATATCAAATCATCTCCTCCAACAACTGGAGTGAGACAACCCCTCACACAAAAAGTTCCACATAAGCCCAGTGGCGTTCAGATACTCCATTATAAACGCTCTACTTGGCCAGTCATTAAGCACCACTCAGCACAAAATTTGGGTAAATGGTGGATTCCTAATCACAGCTTCCTGGTATACACTGATTATTATTTGCACCATCAAACAATGAAGAAGGGCCATTTAAGAAACAAAAGGAAAACGTAAGAAGTTAGCCAATACACTTAACAGCAGACAAGCATCACATTTGCAAACTCACTCTTGCAGCATTCCTCGTGGTTCATGTTTGTGCCCAGCAGCCTGTTGTTTGGCAGTACAACCACAAAATACAACGACTACATCAAATAAGTTGCCAGTGGCAATTCAGAAAGAGAGCCATGAGTTTTCCAGTGCTAACATCCCTGAAATCACAGAGCTGTCTTCACAACACCCTATACTTCAGAAATACCAGAGACCAGAAAAACTCCCAAGTATTCTTTTCTATAGAAAAAAAAAGTATTTTATTTCCAAATGGAACGCATGTGACAGTACAGAGCATATCTATGCTGCAGACGGCCTCAGCACCAGGCTACCTCTGCAGGAGGAATAGTGACTAATGTATACCACAGGAAACCCCTGGTGCCTTGACACCTGGCATTGCCACTGTCCACACTGACCTGTGCGTCAAGTGTGCAACACCATAGCTCTCAACTCACTCAAGATTCTCAGGTTTGAAAGATTTTTCACAGCACGCCCTTGTTAGCTGTTAATAACTTCACAGGGAGTGAGCCAACAATCTCCCAGGTTGTCTTCCAAGACAAGTTTTAGTAAAGCAAATGAGCGTTTCTGCTTGGAAGTGGTTTACTAAAGACAAAACGCTGATGAACAGGAGCCCACACATCCAGACTACAGTAGAAAATCGGTTTGTTTTTAGCTCCCAGTTCCTCAGTTAATGTGGATATTAGCACAGCACGACGCGCCTTCCCAGAGCTGGCGCACTGAGGCATTTGTCAAATCAGAGCCTTTCCTTTGTTCAAGCCTGACTCCCTCCTGCCAGTCTTTCTCCAGGCATCTTTTTGTGCCTGGTACTACTCGGCACACGTGCATAAGCAGCCTTTCTGTTTACCTTTCAGGAGTTTTTCATAGTTTGTTATTCTATTGTGGCTCTTACATTGGACATTGCTTTTAGCAAACAGCTCCCTTGCTGTTTATTTCTTCGGTGTAGTCACGGTATCTTATAATTTACATAACGTGAGGAATTTATCACCCAGCTTTCTAAGCTTATACTCTTCTGCTTATTACTTCAGATCACTTCTCATACACATTTTGTGCAACATATTACTGGAGGTGACAGATTTGCACTGTTTCATCCCTTCTTCTGTCTTCTGAGAATCCAGGACTTCCTTCCACCATAACACATTATTCCTCACCACAATCAGCTTTATAAGGTGACAGTATTTTTTTCAGAACCTAACATAAATTTACAACTGCTTTACATCAGTTGGAAAACAAAGCAGCCAATGCACATGTAATTAGATAGTATACATTCACTTTAATGTAGCCAAAACAGCGACAAGACCTAAGGAATGTGACAAAGACTGTGAGATCTATACAGGTTTCTTTTTCCCACTGGGCAATTAACAGTAGCATGGAAGAACACAAATAACTAGAAAGGAAATAAAGGGATAAAAATTGGTATGGGTGTATACTTGAAGAACAGAGAGAAGTATGCATTGCGCTATTCATTCATACAGAACCAACTCACATAATCAAGAAGTGAATGGAGGTATCAGTTCACTGCTGCTACGATTCATTGTTTCATTGGTTTTAGCTGTCCTTTGTCCTACTGTAAGCAGACGTTTGAACGGCACTCATCTTTTCACTCTTAAGATACAGCTCATTTTATGCTCAACGACATACTTTAATATCTGCTATATTTAAGCATAACATCTGGGAATTGAGCTATGCCGTTCATGACCTCGAAACTCCTAAGATGATTACATGGTCCCACAATCTATGTTGCAACTCCTGAGTTGGCAGCATCTCTGCCCCCATTTCTCATTTCCAAGTCCCATCTTGAAATATCCCATCATCCACCAAAGTTTGAGCTTTTCACATTCCTCCTATGCAGGAGTTCACGGCTCTGCTCTGAGATGTACGAGCAAAGGCATCTCCTGGATCCGACAAGTTTAAATACACCAGCTTTGAGTCTCACCGACTTTCCCCACTTTGGAAGTTCTGATGAGACAGCCTGACTCTTACCTAAATTAAATATTAAAGGCTGAATGAACGTACTAACGCAGACATCTATGTCGAAGAAGAGGCTCAGCACACCCTGCTAACAAACATCCCAGGCCTGACTTCCTCAGGTAAGCCCAAGCAAGGCTCCAATTGTCCCAAGTATTCAGAGAGGTTTTCTTTTGTATACAACCGGAAATGGTTCAAGCCGTACTCCTTTGGATCACATGTGCTGGCGGGATAGTAGAGACAGCAGCCACTGCCCCCTTAAGTACAGGTACTTAAGAGGACAATAGCCTTACTTACTCAATAATGGCCAGACTGGAGTTCCTGCCGCCTTCTGCAGGTAGAATTTTCTACTCGAGCTCACAGTGCGTATCCCAAAAAGCACAACCACATCTATCCTATTAACTCCTATCATGAAAACCGAGCTTCTTTAAGTCTCCCCCTCTGCAAGCAGCATTCTCCAGGACCTTCCCCGTTCTCACCAGAGGACGCCTGCGGGTACCCTTCCCTAGGATACCGCTGCAGGTCGGAGCGCTCCTCGAGCATTTCAAACGCACTCGTAACACGAGCTCCCATACCGGGAGAGGATCTCCCCGAAACTTATTCCCAGCCCGCTGGAACACGAAACAAGTTTCCTACGGCCGGGGGGAGCCGCCCGCGGCGCTGTGCGGACAGGTGCCGCCCCGCCGCCCGGCGGAGCGCGGCGCAACGAGGATGACAGCCGCAGGACTTCCCCGGGCCGAGGTGGGAAATTCGAACGAAAGAAAAGGAACGCCGACCCCGCCCCCCCCCACCCCCTCGCCGCTCCCTCCCCGCCCACCACGCTCCCCTCGCGACGCCCCGTCGCCTATCGCGACACGCGCGTCCCCAGCGGCCTCACCTGGCGTGCAGTGCAGGGGCGAGGGGCCGGGCGAGGCGGGGGGGGGCGGCGGCTCCTTGGTCGGGGCGGCGGGGGGCAGCATGAGGTAGCGGTCGGGCTGCGGCAGGCAGCGCTGGCACACGGAGTGGAGGCAGGGCAGCAGCTTGGGCTGCCGGCTCTGGATGGGCTGCCCGCACACGCCGCAAGTGTCCAACAGGTTGAGCGGGGCCGCCTCCCCGCCTCGCTCCGCCGGGCCCTGGCGGCTCTCGGCCTCGTTCTCCCCGCTCAGCGCCGCCGCCCCCGTCCGATCTACCGGGCACGGCCCCCCCCCGGCCGCCGCCGCCGTCGCAGCCACCGTCGCCGTCGCTTCTTCCATTGTCCTGAGCCGGTCGCCGGAGCGCCGAAGAGACGCGGGGCGGCCCCGCTGTCCGCCCGCCGCTCGCCCGCCTTCCCGCGCCGACACCCCACCCGCGCGCGGCCCGCGCTGTTTGTGTGCCTGCCCCGGGAGGAGGCTGCCCCGCCGCGCCACACGGCCAACGGCCGCCCGCGCCCCGCCCCGCTCCTCTCCCCCTCCGCGACACGCCCCTCCCCAGGCCACTCCCGCCGGCTACGTGCGACTCGAGCTTTCCCAGCCCGCCCTCGCAAGAACCGGCCCCCACCCTCGCGCAGGCCCCGCCCCACGGTGCCCCCGCGCCGCATAAGCCCCGCCCCTCATAAGCCCCGCCCGCCGTGGGCCCGCCCCCGATGGCTCTCATCCGCTCCTGCCCCGGGGTCCGCTCTGTGCGCGGTCCTCGCCGCTCAAAAGGAGCCCTGCGCCCCGCCGGCCCACGTGCACTTTGTTAGAGACTTTCGACTGCTGCAGCCCGCGTCCCCTCGGCTACTGATCAAATGGCTGCCTGCTCACGTGGGCGCGGGGCAGGTGGTCGGGCCGGAGGGGCCTCAGTCCTCACAGAGAGGTTCTTGTGGTGGTTATCCTTCAACCCCACTCGATGTGCGGATGGATGCCTGTGGAAATTTTAGCCTGCGTTCAGTTTGGCCCGTGGCATCAGTGCCGCTGTTCACAGGCACGTCACCCAAAGCGAGTAGGCAATCTGTAAAACTTAAAAAGTACAGTTCTAGTTTGGACACACCGTTTTGCTGAATCAATTGCTTAAACTGAAGTATGCACGCAGACGTAAAACATCGCCTACATATTGGTTACGGGTCAGTCATGGGCTGATTCAAGCTCATGCCAGATGGCTCAGTAGCCCACTTCCTGGCAGTCCCTTCTAGATCAGAGATAAATGTCATTCCTGCTTCCAAATACCAGCTCTTATCTTGCCAACACCCAACACCAGCAGCACTTTTCCAAAGCAGCTCCTGCCTCCCGACCCGGCTCAAATCCTGTCCTCCTTGCTGCCATCTTGGCTGTCCAGCACTGTATGATGGTGTTCTGCTAAGCCCTTGTGGCAGGAGCTAATGTGCCAAGAGCGTGTAAATGCTGAATGATGAAACAGGTTCAGGAATTAAAACTAATGACGACAGCATGAGTTCTGTAAGGTGAAAAAAAAGCAACAAAATTGCCACTGGGATAGGCAGGTGATAACTGAAGTGCATTTGATTAGTTTTAATGGCAAACGATTGGAAAGTCAATGAATAACATATTTCTAATGAATGACAGGAAGCCATAAGTTCATCAAACCAGTTTCAGCTGTTTGTCCAGTAGAAGGCTGGACAGGAAAATAGAGATTATCTAAAGGTACAAAGGCCACCTGCAGAGGATTTGAGCAGGTGCTTTGTTGGAAATCATGATCCCCACAAACCACTTGTGTCCCAGAGATTAGTAATATATACAATTTTGTTTCCTGTAAAATTTGTTTGCTTGGAATGTTTGCAAAGCACACTTGAACTCTGCTGTAAAATCTGTAATCTCATGACATCCAAATAGCATCTGTTATAAAATAAATGTTTGAACTTGTATGATTTGAATGTAGAGTCCTGCTCTTCTTGCTGTTAGTGAGGGAATTTTACTAGGAGTACTCAGGGCAGGAGCAAAAAGCAGTAAGAAATAGCCATCCGAAGATACGCAGCCATTCACTATAGGAAGACAACAGAGTGAAGGGAAAAGCCTTGGAGTGTAGAAACTGCATTTCTCAAACAAAACGTGGGAACAGTTATTAAGACACTGCACCCCTTTATGCCAACCTGGCTGCATGGTTTCCAGACCACAGCCACACTAAACTGCCTCTGGCCAAGAGGGTATGAGATACACTCTTTCTATCTCATGCTGGCAGGTGTTTGGTTCAGGTGCTGCTGATAAGCAGGCCAAATTGGAGTTGAATGGGTATGGAAAATTTGCAAAATAGTGCAGAATCATTCCATGTCAGCATGAAGAGACATGCCATATCAGGAGCTACACCAACTGCCCAAGAACATGAATGCAGAATAGTTGTAGCTGGAAAACTACTGATAAGAAAGAAAAGTGGCACATACAGTATGACCATTAAAGGAAGAAGTTGGACTACCAGCCAACTACTTTATGTTATAAATATTTGCAGCTGATAGAGTTGGTTGAGCTCTCCCACATGGAAACAGGCTGCATGGTGGCAATCTCCCCTTGAGTAAGGACACCTTTCAAGGTTACTCCTCAGTGTTGAGAGATCCCTTATCTGATGCTTACAGTGAAGCAAGAGACATTTCTATGCGCATACAACAGTCATTTATATCAAGCCTAAGTGGCATTGCATACACTTCAGGCTAGCTTAATTATTAGGCCTCTAGTAAGTAGTAGAGGTCTCAGTGCCAATTAACTATCCATCATAGAGTGTTTGACTGCCACTTTTGTTTAATCAGTAATTCTGTTTAAACAGTGGCTAATAAATTCTTCTGGTTAACTTCACAAGGAGAAGTTGTTTCAATAATTCACCTGTGACAAAGATCAGTGCAGTTGGCAAGATGGCACTTTCAGTCGCTGATCACTTAGAGATGCATGGAGCTAATGAGCTCATAAACATTGGGGTAACTAAAATAAATAGAGGAATGGACAAACCTCACAAGAAGGAAAATGAAAGACACTAACAAAAAGGAAATCATATGTAAGACGTTGGGAACATGTTTGGAAACAGCAAGTCAGTATAAGGAATATAAAGAAAATGAAATGAGAATGTTATGCTATAAGGTTGAACAAAGAAAGCAGCACAAAAATACTACTATCCCTGCAAATAGAACAATTACAGAAACAAATAGGGGAGAAATGGAAAAACAAACTGTAGAGGGCAAGGTAGAAATAAAGATAACTCATATCCACAACCCCTCAGATCCTTTAAAAATGCTGTTCCTGAGAGGTTAGGATGAGGATATTTGGGATGACTCTGATCAAGAAAATGACAGGGATGAATTGGATGTTTCAGAATTTTTCAGCAGCCTCTAATTCATGTAACTCGCTTGTGCTGAGTGAATTTACAGTAGTCCCTATTACTAAAACTGAGCTATCTGCCAGATGCCAAGGAGGTGACCAAAAGGACTGTTCCTTGGGATTCCCTTCAGCTGGCTAATTTGTGGGGAAAACGTAGGCATAAGCCTGGTGAAGGTGTGATTAAATATCTGTGGCATGTCTGTCTAACCAGAAGAGATTGTATTATGTTAGAGCAAAAAGAGGTAGATGGCTTCTGGGCACCAGGAGTGTTTTTAAGCAAGGGACCAGACCCTAACACTAGATCATATGCTAGATAGTGTCTTGGGCAGGGGGCACAGATGATAAGGAATGAAAGGAACCCACCACTATACAAATACAAATTATCTGCTGCCATGACAACCTGCATCCAGGTTATGAACAACAGAGGTGTACATGGTAATTACCCTATAGACCTTTAAGACATTAAACCACTAATGGGGAGTCACTGCTGTTCTGAAACTATACATCATTGCAAAAAGAGAAGAGATAAAGAAAAACATAGCACGTAACATGCAGGATGACTAGCCTTGCCTTTGACCCATCCCTGACCTGGGCAGAACTGAAGCACAACACTGCTAATTATGGTTGAGAAATGTGATAGGAAAACACTTCAGCTGGGCGATCCCACACTGAAGTAGACAGCAGATGGGCCAAACAAGTACAACAGACTCCTCAGAATCCCCAGCATCCCCTCTCAAGAATCCTCTAATAGAATAATAGATTTCCAAGATAGATGTAATAAACTGTAGAGAAAAACCTTATCATTGAGCCTACCTCAGATAGCTGTATAGGGCTGATCACCTGGAACTACGCTTAGTCTAATCCATACTTCTCAATAAACAAGGGTTGCCGGAAAATTCAGAGAAAATCAAACAACCCTCTGCTCTGAAACACCCTACAAGTAATCCTTTTACATCTCTTATGGAGGAATGGCCAACTTTGCAGGCAAAAAAAACCCCAAACAAACAAAAAAAAAGAGTAAATAATACAGATGGCTCTCACATTTCTATCCCAGGCAGGCCCCAAATATAACTAGCAAAATTTTTAATTGATGCAGAACTTCACATTTCAACATTTTTCCCGTGACACAGGTATCCCAGGCTGAGCTGCTTGGTGCTGCCTTGAAAAAGTCTAAAAAATGTCTTAGGTCTTAGAGCAGCGGACAATTTGGTCTAGTTCCTTCTAGGAGCAGGCCATGACTCATTGGGCTCCTCAGTGCTTCACTGGGATGACAAATCAATAGAGATAAAACGAAGACTGTGACAAGCTGATGCAGAGTCGTCTTAGAAAATGTGTAAGTCATGCTGACTAGGTGGAGGAAACATCCAGAAACAGATTACTTCATCTCTCCTACCATCTTCCATACTCACAGAAGAATTTGAGAGTTTGCTATGCTACTTATTCTGTTCACAGTGTTTTGTGATATCTTTTGCTTGTTCCAGACACCCCAGTTAAAGCAAATTTTAGAATCCCTGTTACTCCCTCAGCATTTTGTCTTCTCTTTAGATGCAGACTTTGTCACCATAGCCGAGGCCTTTGCCATTTTCAGTGTAGGTTCCTGCAAATTACTGTACAAAAAGTGCATTCTGGAGATTGAGCTACAGAATGTCATAGCCATTGACTACCCAGCAGGACTTCTCAAGAAAGGGCTCATCATTAGGAGCTCCATGCACTATTTTTAGACAAAAACAATTTAATTGTTGACTTTGGTTCACTGTTTGCTTTCTTGCATTTCTAGATTTTCTAGCAGTCATGAGTCCTTCCTGGATTACCACCAAGTGTTGGCATGTACATTTCCTCCTCTTGAGACAGCCATGTGACAGTAAATAATCTCTTTCCAAAGTTTTCTCATAGCCCAAAATAAAGCTCTGGTGCTGGCAATGTGATCTGGACAATTCTATCCTTTTTGTGGCAACAGGGAAGGAAGTGGCAGAGAAGACTCAGCACTCATTCTATGTCATTAAAAAATGCTTCTACCACTTTGGTCATCCAGGAGGTGGATGTAGCAACTTTTTGGCCAGAATCCATAAATAACAACACAAAGCAGTCGCGTGGGGAGTTCTACTTCAGAATATACAGCATTTTCTACTCCAGCTTCTCGTGG